GCAAAAGCTAGTCAAGATTTGAATCGATGTCTATGACAACTATAGTGTGCGTTAAATTGTGTGTCGTTAATGATTACGTGTAAGCAGCGCGCCTAAATTGTGTCACAGATCGAGACCATCTTGAGTGCAGACTAGTGAACCTTGTCTACCAAGGAAATTACTTTTTAATAGTCTTATCATTGAAATAGCCACTGATAATATAATCAGTTCTGTGGTTTGGTATCCGTGTTTATACAATAAAGGGTATATGTTGGGCGGTTGGTAGACATTTATAGCTCTCATATGAATTTGATCTAGTCAATCTGCCCAAAGCCCAATCAAGTAACGAATCCTATCACTAACAGAACGCCAGATGAAAGTTGCTTTGTTGTTGGGGTGTGACGTTTGAACATATTGTATTTGTGGTGGTAAGTTATTCTTTAAATATGTGCAGCTAAAATATATCCGTACCAAGGATTAGAACAAGTCTCGTGCTGTTTGCGACCAATGAATTGGTGGTGGAAAACTGTTTCCTGTATTATGGGTTCTATTCAGGTTGGGTGTGTCCCAGTGAATCCTTATTCGAGAGGATATAGAAAAGCTCTTTTCCGTCGAGAAGGGCGGGTGATATATAAAACGTGGCATATCGTGGTCGTGTATATTCTGGGTAAGTTTGTGTGGTATATGGAATCCTTGTCGTTTAGTTATTCGCTATGATGGTTTAGTGTGAGATTTACTTTTGTGCAGTTAGATGGGTTCTGATCAGTATTTGGTTATACCTCAGGTGGAGTGTTTTTGGCTTTGGGTTCAAAATAGTATTGTGTACGAACAGGTGTTTCGCGGTGTACGCGTTTTAATTTATGGTCAATTCTCGTTCTAGTTACACTCAAGTGTCTTGTTTGTTCTACAACCACAGAATCCTTGGTGGTATCTGTTAAGGGTTTTTCGTTTTTCCTAATTTCTAGGGTTTTCTTTTGGTCAAAGAGTTTCTTAGGGTTTTTAATGATGAGTCGGAGAAGACAACAAGGTCAAGGTACATACAGTCTTTATTCTCAAAAGCAGCGTCACCATCCCTGGACTAACGATCGCAGTCGGCGTCATGACGAGTCATTTACAAGTGTGCCTTACTGGGAAAAGAAATTCTGCACGTCCGTCGGCTCGGTTCCGTGGGGAAAACTCGTGGAAACGAAAAAGTACATGTCTCTGTACAAGAACATCGTTGAGTGGAAGGACTCGGCTGGCGAAGAGGCATTCAACAAGGCGAAAAGCCGGTTTTGGGCACAGATGAACGGCCTAATTCCCAGTTCTGACCTATCTTTGCCGGATCCCGACGTGTATATTGATGATATAGATTGGCAGTCGTCAACCGAAAAAATTGATCCTCAACTGATTTTGGACTTAGAAAAGAGCAAGGAACCTAAACCGGACAATGATCGTGGTGATGCTGAAACCCTAGGTCATGATCGTGAGTTTGTTATTATCGGCCTTCATCCTGTCAATATAAATCAGACGACATTGCCGTGCAGCGGATGGGGTGAGGAGTTTGAAGAAGAGGAAGAAAAATAATAGATAAATAATATTCCTGGATCCATGCTTGCGTTGCGTTCGTCAAGAGTGAAGCTGCGGGACCGACGAGGATGGAACAACACAACCAGCTGGGAACAGTGGGAGAATAATAACTATAATTACAACTCAAGATATAAGAAGTCAAGATTTCATGGTGGTTATAATGATCACAAAGTTGGAGGGTCGTGGAGGAACAATGGAGGGAGAAGGAACAGATATTCAGTTCATGTTGGTAACCAAAACCTGGCTTCTTGCTACTGATCATAAGGCTCTCGCAGATAGTGAACTTGGAATAATGTCAAGAACTATTAAGATCTACTCGAGTTGGGACAAACCAGTTTTTTAATTAAGGAGAAATTAGGTTCACATCCTTTTTTTTGCTACTCCATTGATTAAGATCCTATTCATTTCAATTTTTGATCAATCCCTTGGATATTATAACATCATTAAATTATTTGAATAATAAAATAATTTTATTTTAAAATATATTCCTTAGTGTTAAAAATGTTAGCAATTATTATATGATAAATTTTTTTATCGTATATATTTAATTTTTAGTTGTACCTATTTTTATTTTTTTACCAATTTTATTTGTGTTTGTACCCATGTGTATACCGTCACATGACATTGTATATTTAATCAATGAAGGGAAATTATATATGGTTATTTATGTTTAATGCCGAAAATTTCATATATATATATTTTTAGTTGTACCACTTTAATTTGCAACATTTTTTTAAATTGGTAGTATTTTCTGTAGACATCGATTTGGTAATAAATGTTGAACCCGGTCAAAAAATGGTCAACGCTCATTATTACATAGGTTTGTTACACGAACGAAATGAGTTGGAAAGTCAAAAGTCATCAACGGTGTCAACCCTGGCATCTGATTATCTTATTCAAAATTAGGCTGAAAATTCTATAAATACAACCCATTTCATTCATTTTGGGGAACCAATTCATATTACACCTGAAGCTCTGAAGCTCTGAAACCGAAGCTCTCAAGCATCTGGTTCAGAAGAATCAAGAAAGCCTTCTTGTCTTCGTTCATCGTTCTTCCAAGATCAAGCCCCAACGGCCCTTTGGATCAACAATCATCCACCAAATTCAAGATCAAGCCCCAAAGGCCCTTGAAGAACTTCCACCAATTCAAGATCAAGCCCCGACGGCCCTTGAAGAAAGCACCATCGTTCATCATCCGTTCATCCAAGATCAAGCCCCAACGGCCCTTTGGATCAACAACGTCGACAAATCCACACACATCCAACCGTTCTTCAAGATTAAGCCCAAAAGCCCTTGAAGATCTGTTCATCACTGTTCTTCAAGATCAAGCCCAAAAGCCCTTGAAGATCCGTTCATCACCGTTATTTAAGATCAAACCTTAACGGCCCTTGAAGAAACATTCATCCTCAAGATCAAGCCCCAACGGCTCCTTGAAGATCCGCTCAAATCCACCTTCAAAGATCAAGCCCACGGCCCCTTGAAGAAACTTCCAACAATTCATCCAAGATCAAGCCTCAACGGCCCTTGGATCAACGAAACATCCACAAACCAACACCTTACGGATATCAAATCAGATGATCAAAATAGAGAGAGATTGTAACCCAAAATCAAAAAATACAAATATTTGTTTGTGCACGTTGTTCTTGTCTCTTTCGTTTCAGGAATTTTCCGTGTTCACATTTTCTTTTTAGTTTTATTTTGTACCCACCCATGTATTAATTTCTTTTAGCGCCTATATTTTTTAAAAATTCATTTTTACTCATAATTTTTTAATCTGTTATAAGTACCCTAATTTATTTATAATGTACCCATTCTTCTTTATTAATGTACGACTTTGTTATATGTGAAATGTACCAATTTTTTTTAACACTATGGATACATTCTTTTGCCATTTATTATTTCTTATTTTTACATAGTTTTTATCCATTTATTAAATCAAAATGTTTGAATTTTTTTATTGTAACCGTTTCTAATAGTATTATAATGAGGGATTTTAAATTTATAGGATTATAAATCTCATAAAATATCAAACAATTAATGTCAAAACTATAAAAATAAAAATATTAATTGTAATATAATGATGTGTTAAAAGTCAAGGGACTTTGATCAAACTTTGAATATCATTAAGGTTTTAGTCAAAGAATGTTAAGGATTAGGGACCGCATCCAAGTATCCCTTTAATTAATTAATGTCAACAAATATTACTCAATGGATACAATATATTTTCGGTGTTAATGTTTATTGTTTTTAATTTATGTGTGGTTTTAATCTTTATTATTTAAAAAATCTCTCATATAATTCATAGTTTCATCACGAAAAGGTAAAAGATATTCCGAAGCAAAATAGAAATAGCATTTCATTTTTGTTGCAAAAAAAAGTTCAAAGATAAATTCTTGAAACAGTAAACCCTACAGGATGCACATTCGTATTCCTATATAAAATAATGTGACTGGAATTTATAAATAGTAGCTAGTTGTCACTTGTCACTAGCTTACAAATTAAGCCAGCCTCAATTATCATATGAGAGCTAGTTGTATTTGATTAAGCAATTAATCCCACTAGTCCTACAAAACCAGGAATTTTCAAGACCTTTTCTCTAAAAATTAAGAATTAGGCCTTAAAAGCCCCACATAAACAAAGGTTTATAGATCAGTTGGTTAGGAGTACTTTTGTTCTTGGTAGAGGTCATTAGTTTGATTTCTGCCTCCTAGGATATTACCATTTTTTTATAAAAAATTACAATAATATATTAACTTAAGGGGTGAGTGATTTGGATCAAGCTACACAATGATCAATCATAATAGATTAATAATTGGATATTGAACTTGCCATCTGCGAGAACTGAACCTAAAAATTCTCACTTACAAGTAAAGAAAATACCACTGGACCTCCAAGATATCACTAGTGTAAGAAAAAATAGGGAAATATTGCCAAACAAATTACACAAACTTTATGTAAAAATCTGCTTTGGGTAAAAACGTATAAGCTCCATGTATGTGGTAACATTCATGTCCAAGCCCAAATTCACTAGTAGGCCCAACCAATGTTTTTCGACCGTCTGGAGACTGTTTTGAATTGAATATTTTGTTTGTAAATTAAAGTGATTTCTTAGAAGAGTTAGGAAAATCCGGTATTTCGTACAAAAATTAGGAAAAAGCTTTTCCTGGATTTTGTAGGATTACCGGATCTCCTACTAATCCTACAAGATTTAGGAAAAGCAGTATTTCCCAAGGCTATATATATAAGTTGTTCTCCATTATGTGGGTGTCTCGTAGCTTTCTTAAACCTTGGCTTCCTTTTTTTAATTCTTCAACTCATTAACTTCGATCAGGTGCTCTTTGTTCAGCAACCACAGAATCTTTGGTGGTTATTCTGCTTAATTTGTTTCAGGGCCCTTAGGGTTTCTTTTTAATTAGGGTTTCAATGATGAGTTGGAGAAGACAACAAGGTGCATGCAGTTCCTATCTCGGCCGCAGAGGCACCAATCTTGGACTAAAGATCGTAGTCAGCGCCGTTACAAGTCACTTAGATGTGTGCCTTATTGGGAAAGGAAGTTTTGCACGACGGTTGGATCAGTCCCATGGCGAAAACTCGTCGAAACAAAGAAGTACATGTCTCTCTATAAAAACATCGTTGAGTGGAATGACTCGGCCGGAGAAGAGGCCTTCAACAACGCGAAAAACCGGTTTTGGGCGGAGATGAACGGCCTGATTCCCAGCTCCGACATATCTTTGCCGGATCCCGACATGTACATTGATGACATAGATTGGAGCTCATCATGCAACAATATTGATCCTCAACTGATTTTAGACTTGGAAAAGAGCAAGAAAACTAAACCTTCCGATGATCGTGAAGCCGAAACCCTAGGCAATGATCGTGTGAGTTTGTTATTCTCGGCCTTTATCTCCTATCTATTTAAATCCGACGACATTGCCGTGCTCTGGAAGTGATGATGAGTTTGAAGAGGAGATCTTGAGAAATAAAGAAAATAATGTTCTTGAAAATTATGGAAAGAATGTTGTGGATGATAAGAAAAATCCTTGGGAATCTGCTTGTGTTGGTCAGATTAAAGCTGCAGCTATAGGAGGAGGATGGAACACCAACACTACTTGGAACAACAACAATTCAAGATATAAGACATCAACGCCGTCGAGATTTCGCGGTGGTTACAATGATCACAAGTTTGGAGGGTGGTGGTGGAACAACGGAGGAAGGAGAAGGAACAGATATTCAGTTCAAGTTGCTTATGAAAACCTAGCTTCTTGTTATTGATAAAGCTCAGCCAGTCAGCCAGGCAGGGGCAGCTGTGAAACTTGGAGGGAATTACTTGTTTACACGATCGATTATTTACAAAATTACAATACGATAAATATATTTTCGTTTTTAATCTTTTAATACTTTTACTATGTATTTCTTTTGTTATTTTTGATAACAATATGATAAAACAAATTTTTTTGCTTTACTAATTAGTTCTTACTTCTGGGTGGTACTTGTGTTTCTCCTATGTTAGAAGAAATTATAAATTTTTCTCCTCCCTCTCCTGTAATCCTATTGATCAAATCAAAAGATATATTATTACTTTTGAGTTTAATAACTTATTTCATAGTATTACTTTGATCGAGATTTTTTCGTTAAGAGTGTCTTTAAAAATCTTTGTTAAGGCATTCCCGACTCCACTCATGTCAATGTGACAACTTCTTGATAAATTACCTTACATGACCAACCACATGACACTTGACCGGGCTGTGTTGCAGGTACATTGAAAAATTTCCCTTAAAAAGACTATTTTAATAGGAAAAGGCACTAAAAATCTCTCTTAGGCAGACTAATAGGCTCAAATGCAAAGACAGGCCCATACTAAAAAATGACAAATCCAATCCACTGGGAATTGGAAGTTCCACCCTCACTTTCTCTCTATCCTTTTGCTTCTGCAACATATGGCATCCATAGCTGACAGCTCCTAAGGATTAAAACCCGTTCAGAGATTTTTCAAATTTGCAAGGTATGTGCGCTCTTCTCTTTGCTATCAATTGAACCCATGTTTATGTTTATGTTTAGGCACCAAAGTATCCGTCTTTATCTTCAAGTTTCCTGAATTCATTTTTGCTCTCTAAGCTTCATTCGGAAAACCCACTTCGAATACAATCATTAAGAAGTAGTCATTACAAGTACTGGTAAATTGTGTGGTGATCCAATTGATTGTATGATTTTAAAGTTTTAATTTTCATTACCCAACTGAGCTTTTCATGTTCACATGGTTAAAAATCTGTTCTTTTGAATAACTACCTGTTTTATTGAATTTTTATTTAATACTTAGTCCTGAAATTTTGAAGAAGCTTGTATTTTTATGCAGAATTAGGAAATGGGTAAGTAGATATTGAATTATTTTAACATGCTTTGCTTCTTGTGCCAGAGATTGTACAGTGGGAAAATGTATTGTGACAAAGGTTTCTTCAATTAGAATCGTTGCACGTTCCTGGTTCATGTAAATTGCTTGCTCAAAGGATTGGCAATTGAAGAAGACTAATGATAGTGAATTCCAGATATTGTATTCGATGTCAGTTCCCCTTATCAGGAATTGATCAGGTGAACAATGAGTTACCTTATTCATGGTTTGTCCAATTTCATTCAGTGTCCACCTTATTCTACTTGCGTGTTTAATCTGATTGATTGGATGACTCATTAGATCACAACTACTGAAGCAGCTTTGTTGTTGGGGTTCGGCTTCCCTAATTGCAAAACTTCTCTCTTGTGGAAGGTAATTGGGTTGTTCTCATTGTTAAGGCAAGCAAGAAAAGAATTGTAAAACATTTGCTTTACCATTTGATTTCTAAAACTTTGAAGTTTTTATATCACGGTCTTCATCTCTTTCTCGGTCTTTTCTCGTAGAAAAATTATGTACATCAGACGGTGGCTATACATACATCCAATGTCAAGTTCTCCTACAAGCAAAGTAGACAACCTTTAACTAGTTCCAAAACAACTGAGAAGTAGGTTTTCTATCTTGCTTTATAGTTAAACATAATCTGTGATTTTCAATGTTCAGTTCAATTGCTTCAAAACGCTGCTTCATCGTTCAAGTGCTATAGTTATTTATGAACAATAATTGTACGTTCTTTAGGTTTTCATAATGTTTGAAGAAGATGTACCTTTGCATGAAATGCAGGAAAATAATCAAGAAGGCAGGAAAGAAAGATCACCACTTATGGCAGAAAAAGGACTCTGCCGGGTCTGGGCAAAAGGCACTCAATCTCGTCAGAATTGTTAGTCTTATTTTTTTCATTCTTGACACTCTTGCTTTTGGTCTTTCAGCTTTATAACCTTTTGACATATGATATGGACCCTCTTCCTACTCTGTTTTCCTCATTAACGTTGAAATGACAGGTCTCCAGTCTTCCTAATGAGAAAGAGACCATTTTTGGAGCATTAGATAAATGGACAGCTTGGGAGACAGGGTTTCCATTGATTGCAGCAGCGAAGGCCTTGATAATCTTAAGGAAGAGGAGTCAATGGGTTCGTGTAATTCAAGTATGACACTTGCGGACTCTACTTCAGATTATTTAGAATTTATACCGCATACTTTAGGCGCAACCTGATCCTAGTGACCGCCGTTATTTAATTGCTTTTTAGATAAGTAAAGCTAGCGTGGATAAACAAGTGGAGATTTCACTTTTGAAACATTTTTCTAATGCCATTGCATATGGCATACAAATTAGCTTTTAGTATGAGACCTACATGATTCCCTTTATAGGATAGTTGCATGTGGAGTACAACTTCGCTTGGATCACTCTGAGAACTAAATGCTTAAAAGCACAAATCTGCAAAAATCCGCTTGACATGAAACTACTTAGCGTGCCTTGACATAGAGATATTCTTCTAGATGGCTTTGTGATTAATTTCGCCTGTCTTAGCCTTATAAGGACTTCTTTTGTTAACCATACAAAATCAGCTCTGTTAGTTGTTGGATCATCTCATTTTTTAAAATATAAAAAATGCCTTGTGCTCTATAAAAGGCTTTGTGACAGTGAAAATTGTTGAATGTATTAAAGATGGCTGGCTAATTCTTAGTACTTGTCAGGTAGCAAAGTGGATGTTGAGCAAAGGCCAAGGAGCAACAATGGGAACGTATGATACCCTTCTGCTGGCATTTGATATGGATCAGAGGGTCGATGAGGCTGAATCACTGTGGAACATGATTCTGCACACGCATTCACGCTCCATCTCAAGGCGGTTGTTTTCTAGGATGATTTCTTTGTATCATCATCACGACATGCAAAGCAAGATAATAGAGGTAATTCGACAATACTGAGCCACTAACACTTTGACGTTTCAACCCTCTTTGCATGATATAACGTCTTAGTGCTAAGATTTGAATTTCTTCCTGAGAAATTCAGGTATTTGCAGACATGGAGGAGTTAGGTGTAAGACCAGATGAAGATACTGTCAGGAGAGTGGCACGTGCTTTCCAGGAATTAGGGCAAGAGGAGAACAAAAAACTCTTTTTGAGAAGATACCACTGTAAATGGAAGTACATTCACTTTAAGGGTGAAAGGGTTAAAGTAAGAAGCACTAATGCATGGGATGAAGATAATAACTTAAGCAACTGAGATGGACTGGCTGGCATTTAGGAAGCACAATGTGACCGTGATATCTGTTTTTCTTCTCTTGTTTTCACCCTTGGATGAAGATATGTACAGATATAGGGTAAGATCCATTGCTACAAGCTTCAGTAATATTCCGCTGTAAGATATGAGGATTCTGTATGCATCCCTTAGATTTATATAAGTCAAGATCTTAAATATTTTGAATCTGGATTCTCTATGGAAGTGGATTATCTTCTTTAAATGCATGATAGATGTTGGGTGTTGTATGACGTCGGGCACTGTGAGGTAGGGAAAATTTTCCATTGGCATGTCACGGTAGTCGTTGCAAATGGCAATTAGGTGATTTCCATTGAAACCGATGATGCAGGGTGCAAACCACCTATGCAGCCGATGCTGTTCTTTACAATCCGACAGAGTTCGCTTCTATCATGTACTTCACAATCGCGATTGCTACAGAAGTTCTTCATCTTCAGAGTTTGCAAATGGTAATAATTTCTTATTTTTCGATCCTAAAAAAGGTGAAATAGGTTTACAACTCCACAGGAAAATATTCTGCCGGAGCCTTTTGATCCGGCAACCCTTTCAAGTACTGTAATGCACTGGGAGTCTCCTATCTCTATTTCTGTGTTCCTATGGTTTGCAATGAAATCAAAATCCAAAAGAAATTAAAATGGTGACAGAGTAGTTCTTATGCTAAAGACACTGCAATGGGACTCCTCACAGTGTGGAGTCCATCGGTCCAAGTGTACCACCCAAAGACATACTCATTGCCTTGCTTGCTAAGCATCTCTCTTCTTGCTTTAACTGTTACGGTGAAGCTCTTCTTCTGGCCGAAATGATCGAAGAACAACATGCTCGGGGATGCCTTAATGGAGATTCCCAAAGGCGGCTTGGCGGTAAAGAAGTAAATGCTTTTGCTGTCGCCAACATTTGTGACTGTCCTCTTGATGGTCATGGTGTCCTTTAGTTTGGGGATTGCAATGGAAGGGTAGTTCAGGTTGATTGCTGTTGGTGGTGATTTTGGACAATTGAATGTTGGATCGACGTTCTTGGCTACTCCTATACTGCAAATGTATTGAAGATAGTCCTTGTACGAAGCATCGTATACAAGGCCGGGGTCTGCTGCCTTCGTGGGACGAAAGTGTCCGGCCCCATATGCAAAGGGAGTAGCAACACTTCCTGATTCATCTTTCAATGGTAAACCCAATTTGTTTCTTATTTCAGCTGCAAGGCAAACAATAAAAGTTAAAGATGATCAAACAATGTACCGGTTTTGATCAAGTGCCCTGCCTTGAACGTTCGGGGTATTTAGTTTACCTGTGGTCATGATAGCAGATCTTATGGCAGCACTGCTCCAAGTAGGGTGGATTGCTTTGACAAGTACTGCTGCAGCTGCTACATGAGGGCAAGACATTGAAGTTCCAGAGTATATATTATACCGAACAACTCGATGATCTATACCGGACAACTTGGTTGGCGGATCAGCCTCAGTCCACGCCGCCAATATATTCAGCCCTGGAGCTGTGATATCTGGCTGCCCAGGTGAAGGAAGAGAGGTTAAGTTTCAAAACCATTAAATTCCTAAACTTTCGTAGTTTGACATTTAAACTGTTCCTCGCCAACATTAACAGTTGTTAGGAAGATTGCACTAATTAAGTAACGAAAGTACATTAGGAAATTTTACCTTGAGAAAGTTAGGGTCAATGAGATTGGGGCCTCTACTAGTGAATGCAGTCATGAAGGGAGCTGGCTTTCTATTGAAAACAGTCCTTGCTGGTATAATAGTAGCCGTTGGAATTTTGGTAGAGTTGATGTATTGAAGAATTCTATCGGCATCTTCATAAAGCACTGCAGTGGCAGGAATAACATGAGCATCACAGGAAATTTCAACCCCATTTGCTGCACTGTTTCCTAATATAAATCCAACTCCTCCTGCCCTTTTCACTTCCATGCCTTTTCCAACTCTCATCCCACTTCCTCTCATGCACAAAACTATATTTCCCTTCACCTTCTCAGGTGAAAGAGAGCCTGGTAGGCATTGTCTGCAGCCACATTTAGTTTTTTTTAAAATTTTTTTACAAGTCATTAGCTAATTACAGTCACTATTTAACTACTAATAACATAGATAGATATGCACAAATAGAACTGATTACAGACTTTCAATAAAAAGTAGAATCGAGAAGACACTAAACAGACAATGAGCCGTATATAAATCACGGCTAAGTGCCCTTTTATTGTTTGTTTAGTGTCCGGCCAGTTCAAATTTAGTCTTTAATCAGTTTTGTTTGTGCATATTTTCTTTAAATAAATCATAGAGTGAACTTTACCCTGCCATATCTTTTGGTACACCAGAGTTAATAACATCTGCAGCATATACTAAAGGGTACTTCTTATTCTCTTCCAGCTTGCTTGGTGTCACTGTTTCTCCCTGAATGTTGACTCAGACAAACATTTTAGCAAGTACCATATTGTTGCATGTGCTTATAGAGAAAAAAGTAAGTGCTTCCCACAATAGCATTCCTGAAATGAGCCCTAACCCAAATACTAAGAAACCATTCTTGAAATGAGCCCTATTCCAAATGCTAACAAACCATACTTTCCAATCACCTGTAAACTTTAAATTACCTCAATTGTGATCCCATTTCCAAGCACAACCGGAGCGACGAATGCCCGGTCGAGGCTGCTAGCACCAACTGTGATTATCCATGGAGCCGGATTTGAAAGAGTAGATGGAGCAGGGCCATTGTTCCCAGCACTACATGCCACCACAATGTTCTTCTTGGTGGCATGCAATGCTCCAATAGCAATGCCATCATTGGTGTAATTTACAGGTTTTTTGGTCCCAATTGATATGCTCAGTACATCAACACCATCACCTATTGCATCATCAATGGCTGCCAACATGTCTTCCTCAAAGCATGTGTTGCCATCTGCCTTGGACTGGCCTGGTATTGCCCAACACACTTTGTATATGGCAAGGCGTGCCAATGGGGCACCGCCAGAGGCCGTGCCTAGGGCAAAACCACCCAGGGCTGAGGTGTTGGGAACAACTCGGCCTGCAACGGTTGAGCTTGTGTGTGTTCCGTGGCCATCCATATCACGAGGTGATCGGTAATCCTCCGAGGCATTTAAATGACCGTAGAATTGCTCAAAACCTTTGAGGTAGTAGCGAGCTCCTATCAGCTTCCTGCAAAACAATCCATATCATAGGTGAACTACTGAACCTGGCATCATTCATTTGTGACTATAAGGCTTTAAGCACAACGTTTGATTCTTGCTTTGCAAGTTTCACTACAATGAAAGCCCAAGTTTCGCACAAGATTTTATTTATGTCAGTTAGACTGTAAGAAAAAAATTATACCGATTGGGTTTTGCTCCATATGGAGTTATGAGTTAACCAATGAGTTTTTAATTATGATATGTGCATGTTTTGAATGTAACATGTTATGGTTGTTATCTAATGACCTATTTAGAAAAAACCAATGAGTTTGTATATTTTGAGACAAAAACTTTGCATGCAATATGATAAGCGAGATGGAAAGATATTCTCTTGCATCCGATCACCATTCTGAATAAACAATATGTCAATCTTACTAATCCTTTAGCTAAAGAGAAAATAACTAAATAACTTTTGCAAACTTAGGAAAATCAAACTCACAACGTCAATTACACAAGTAAATATTATGAATCACTTAAAAATTAGATAGAGATAAACATGTGATTCAACTCCTTGCATATATCCAAGTCTATAAATGCATCAATTTGTTTTCCATTTGTTGTCTCTCTTTGTTAATTTAGTTGTACACATCAGTAAAATTGTACTACTACTTTTATTAACCGCGCCAGAGATATGACCTATAACTTAAGTAATCAACTAAACATTAGCAGTGTGATGCTGAAATCTCATAGGCGAACACTGAACACACACCACTGAGCTGCCCAATTGCAGTCCTTTTTCTGACATAAGGAAAAAAGTTGAGGACTGTGCAGATTGAATAATTGGGTTTAGGTCATCTTCCAGAAAGCAAATAGCTAGGCTGACTCCAAATGCAAGAGTCACGGAGAGGCCTCCAAATAACGATAAAGAAAGTTCACAAGATGTGAAACAAAAGAAGCCAAAACCCAATTAAATCACCTATTTGTTTTGTTTGACTGAAACAAACAAAGGTAGTGATCATCGATCGTTCATGTTTGCTGGGTCAGAAATACTTTTATAATTCAATTTTCAATAAACCCAAACAACTATTTATCAATATTATGCAAGTCAAGTGGATGCTGTCACTGAAATTTTCTCTTTGTTGTTTTGATGCATGCATTGAGGAATTGTACAACATGAACATGCAGGCCTAAATACTGGATGATCAAATTCTCTAATTCCTTGGTATCATCAAAGGCAATCTCATTTCGTTTACATTCACAAAACTGACACTTTTTTGCAGAAACAATTCCTGCCAAATTATGCAGGAGTAGAATGTATGGTGGAAAACTAAACAACCCCCATAGTAGAAAAACCCTAGAAAGGAGAGATTTTGGATGCGGTATTTAGTTATGAATATTCTTTGATTGAAACCTTGTTGATTTTTAATTTTTTTTATCAACGTCCCTGAAATTAATGTGATAATTTATTTTTATGTACGTTACTATATTTTTTAAATTAAAAATTAAAAATTTTAGTTGTTTATATAAATGAGATTTTAAATAAAAAAACCATAATTTGTGGGATTAAAAATATTAAAATATAAATATACTATTGTGTGTGTATATATAAACATGGGTACATTCATCAAAATTAACCAAAAAATTTATTGTATCAAAACATGGGTACATTCTTCAAAATCACAAAAAAAAAGATATTAGGCTTAATAATGTCACATCCCGGCCCGGGCCCCACCACATTCCGGGCTCGACTCCGTCGTAGCACGATATTGTCCGCTTTGGGCCCCGACCACGCCCTCACTGTTTTGTTTCTAGGAACTCACACGAGAACTTCCCAGTGGTCACCCATTCTGGGATTGCTCTCGTGCGAACTCGCTTAACTTCAGAGTTTAGATGGAATCCGAAGTCAGTGAGCTCCCAAAAGGCCTCGTGCTAGGTAGAGATGAGAATATACATATAAGGCTTACAAGATCTACTCCCCTGGACGATGTGGGATGTTACAATCCACCCCCCTTAGGGGTTGGAATCCTCGTCGACACACTTCCGGCCAGGGATTGGCTCTGATACCAAATTGTCACATCCCGACCCGGGTCCCCACCACATACGTGGCTCAACTCCACCGAAGCACGATATTGTCCGCTTTGGGCCCCAACCACACCCTCACGGTTTTGTTTCTGGGAACTCACACGAGAACTTCCTAGTGGGTCACCCATCCTAGGATTGCTCTCGCGCGAACTCGCTTAACTTCAGAGTTCTAATGGAACCCGAAGCAGTAAGCTCCCAAAAGGCCTCGTGCTATGTAGATATGAGAATATACATATAATGCTTACAAGATCCACTCCCCTGGGCGATGTGGGATGTTACAAATAACATTAGTAAATTTCTTTGATTAAACTTGACATGGATACATTTTAAATAATAAAAAAAAAGAATGTACCCATATAAGTTTAAAAATGGGTTAGAAAAAAATTGAATAGATTTTATATAAAAAAGGGTACATTTTACATATAACAAATTGGTATATTTAAGAATGAGTACATTTTAAGATTAAAAAGTTTTACATGAATGGGTACATATAATTAGCATGGGTACATTTAGCAAATCAAAAAGTACAAATAAAAAAAAATATGGGTGCAAATACAAATAAACTTTAAAAAATATGGGCATAAAAAGAAATTAATATATGGGTACAAATTAAATCTGAAAATAAAATTGGTACAAGTTAAAAAAATAATTACAAATTAAAAATGGGTACAAACTAAAACTAAAAATATATGATAAAAAATATAGTCATAAATATAAATATACTAATTGTAACATTTTTAACATTAAATGAATATATTTAGAAAAAAAAAATATTATTGAAATAATTAATGATGTTATTAATACCCAAAAACCTTGATCAAAATTAAAAATAAATAAAATTTTAATTAATAGAGTAGCAAAAAAAATGATGAGAACTTAATTTCTCCTATTTCAAAACTAGGTCCCAAAGCCAGCAAAAAATAGAAGATACATGGTCCCCTAGGACCCCTACTATCCCATCTGATACAAAAAATATATTAAAGTAAAATGTGTCAAAGACCAAAGCTAGCCATATGTAATGGGATTAAATCACTTCACACGTATTTCTAAAAATTCTAGTTTGCCTCACCAACACAATTACCCATACCACAAAATGGATCCGTATATAATCAAAGAAAGTTGATGGAAGGAAATTAACAATTAAATTAACAAACTTACCTGTTACAGTGAGATGAATTAAAACCAGGTCCTGATTGGCAGATTCCCTTCCATGGTTTTGGAATGGGCCCCATTCCTTCATCCCTAAAGCTCTTTGATTCTGGCCAGACACCTGATCATAAAATCAACAAACATCATCATGGCATGGATCCAATCATACCCACTTCCCTCCACCCAGGAGAGAATCTACCCGAGATATTTCACTTTACATCCACAAAACCAATCATATAATGAGTTGTACACACAAATTAATATACCTTCATTAGTAAGTCAATAAAACCATATATTTTCTCTCAACCCCTACACTCACAAAATAGGTGTTGCAGACAGAGAGATATACCATTCAGGGAAACAATTTTTTTTTTTATTAGACACAAAGTAATATAATACTGGTGACACAACATATTTCCTCACAAAATAAGTGCTCTAGACACAAAAAATTACATGAATGCATCAGATTTTTTCCCATTCCGGACACACAGGAATCACCCGTGAAACACTTCATTGGACAAGAAAACTAATATATGAAGTTGTTTGATAAAAATGATGTTCTTATAACTTCTTACCACTATCAAGGAGCCCAACTATGATGTCCTTGCCATATCTGGCTTTGGATAAGAAGTCTCCTCCCATCTTGTCTATCCAATGCCTCTCTTCCTCTTCTATTATGCCTGAAAACTCCCAAGACCTTGTGGTGTGCATAGAGTACTTTTTTGGGTGGCTAGCCCACACAGACACAACTTCTTCCAAGTCTGCACTTACCATTCAATTTCTGCAGCATTAGAGAGAGAGAGAGAGAGAGAGAGAGAGAGAGAGGATGTGATTGGTTTGGTTAATCACCAGATAGATTGGAAGCTTCGTCCTGGGTGAGGACAGCTGCAAAGCCATTGATGCTGTGCTTGTAACTGTAAAGCAAAGAAGCTCTGGCATCTTCTTCTGTTTCCTTCACAGAGAGCAAATACGAGTGATGGGTGTCCTCAATTTCATGCAGTGCTTTCTCTCCACTGTGTTCTCCAAAATACACTATATAGACCTATAGATACACAAAAACATGTATATAAGTATATATAAACGTGACATATATGTAAGAAAAGATATACGAAATGGAAGAAAAAATAGATTTATCACGGCCAAAAGGAATGACCTTTTTTTGTTCTGCACATGAGGCTAAGAGAGGAAGGAGGAGAAGGAGAGAGAGGATGAAGACTTTCCTCATTGGTTTTGTGCTGAGGAATTAGTGGATACAAATTTTGAACTGATTAAAAGTGTTTATATATAAGTTTAAGGCTTATTTTAGGGTAGGGACCGAGATACATGGTAAAGTATGATATCTGATATATGAAATTTGGTAGTGGATCTTTTAGAAAATTAAAATGCTATATTTTTTCAGTTACAGTTGACTTTTTTTTGCATTTATTTTGGTTAACTGATAAAAAAGGTAACAGCTTAATTTGGATCTTATTAACCATAATTTTTTAAGAATTAATTACCTAAAACTTCCTAAGTTTTTAGTGTTGTTCTAAATTAATTTCAACATTTTTAAACATTTTAAATGAAAAATAAAAATGAAGATCGGAAAATCTCAAGCTCCCCAAGCTCAACCTACGACCACTGAAGCACATCTCAACCTTTATATTCAAACCCAGCAACTGCGTATATCATAATGAACATTAATATTAGTTGCCTCAAAATCTAAATTTCAAACATATAATATATAATATGGAACACGATAATTAAACGAGTATAAAATTGAATCGAAAAATGGACCCAAATTAAAATTACATCAGGAGGCAATCTCCTAACAAAAAAGAGGTTGAGAATTCAGATAGAGTTTCAAAGAGTTGTTTCTGCTCATGCGATTTCCTCATTCACTGATTCTCGGCTCATAAAGCTTCCAGTTCTTCTTTGTGGATGGTGAAGATGGTGGTGGCCGCATCACGACACTGTATACCATTTCAACAACCCTTCCACTAGACGTTAACGACTTCAATTGTAGGGTGGAATTGGTGGTTGTGCATTGAGTTTGGAGGTGATGGCCTGATAGGGGTGGTGGGTGACCGTTAGTTGGTGGAGGCCATGCTTCCATGACCTTCTATTGATTTTGGAGCCAAAGTCAGCCCAGTTAATTTTGCAAAATTTAACTGGAGCTTAACAAATGTGAGATTCTCAATAGATTGGAAACTTCTTTGGAATGTTTAAAAAGGTTGAGACCAATTTGGAATGACACTAAAAAGTTGAGGGATTTTAGGTATTTAATCCTTTTTTTAACTTGGTAAGCTTTTTTAGAACGTATTGTTGAATATCCCACATCGGCCGTATCTCTAAGAAAATAAGAGTTTAAAACTGTAACCCCATTCCAAATAATACCGAAACCTTTTGTGATAAATCCACATTTGTCGTACTTTGCAAGTAGTAATTAATAAATTGGGGACAATATCGGTGTTGTTGGAAGTTGACCTTTGGTCCGTCTTTCTGATAATTCGACGCGTATTGCTCTCGTTATCCTATTCATCATGTTCCCTTTCTCATCTCTCTTCTCTGTATATACTAAACCGATCATTAATAAGCATCATGTGGAAACAAAACATTATTATCTAACTATTGAATTTAATAGAATAAATAATTACCTTAACACTCCATGACGTTTATTATGTTTTCACAAAACTACCTCAAATTTAAGAAATAACACTAACATCTTCAGATATTTTAATTCACTTTCACATCAGCCCCTTTAAGAATGAGTGTACTCTTGTATTTAATTACTTTATTTTTAGTACATCGATATTTTTACCCTAAGGGGGGAGAATTCAGCAAAGCCACATAATAGGCAACCTAATTTGGTAATAAATTCGCCATCCACGAGATTCGAACCTAAGATCTCTCACTTTCAAGTGAAGATAAATACCCTTGTATTTAATTACTTAAAACAAAACATTTATAAATATGTATATAAGAAACTAAATTTACAAAATTACATTGAACATCAAATTAAGCTTTTTTGAACAAAGAAAGCCAAGTTGTAGAAAATCCAAATTTCATCTTTTTGTGTGTGTTTGTGGTTTTGGTGGTGGTTGAACAATACTTAGCTACTCAAAGATAAGTAAGAACTCCTACTCAAAATTTCTCAAAATTGTTCGTTGTCAATTTATAAAACTTCGTGTTTATAATCAGAACCGTTCATATTATAAATCACCATATAAAGATCACCTCTACAAAAAATCAATTAAAACTAAGGTCTTTTGGTTATCAAACTCTTTAAAAACAAATGAACGGTATTGGTAAAAGTATTATGAACCGTCTATATATTTACTACAATAGATTGACTAAACGACCTTAGTTTTAATTTATTTTTTTTGCAAGGATGATCTTTCCAATGTAATTCATAGTATGAACGGTTATGATCATAAGTACAAAGATCTGCAATTAAAACACTAAGAATTTTGAGTATGATTTCTTATTTATCTTTGAGTAGTCAAGTATTGTTCGTGATGTTTTTGGGTTAGGATTGAAAATCCCAATTCATCTTCTTCTTTTGGGTTTTATTGAAAAAGCTGGAATTGTATGATTGGGTTGGCAGAGATGACCAAAACCCTAAAGGACTGCTGCTCCTGCTCGAAATAGGTTAATCAAAATGCCAAATGGCTTCTTGTTTGTGTTGCCGACAACGGGAAGAAAATAAAAAAATGGAAGGGGAAGAAGATGTTAGGATTTTTCTTATAGAAGGACAACCAACATTGGCATATATAGACTAGGTAGTCTTCCAACCGAGGCCAAATTGAACCAAAAACTTGAATTCAGTATGAAATCTAATCTAATCGAATTTCAGTGCTTTCATAAACTTCGACGAATTTCGTGAAAATTCGTTAACGAAATGCACATTTTGTTAATTGTGTTTTACTTGAGATTTGTTGAACAAAAAAAAAAAAAATATAATAATAAACATATGAAAAAATAGAGTCCACACAAATTGGGTCAAACTACAAGGTGTAATCCAAGCCCAAAAGATGAGGATGGACTTTTACCCACAAATACATCCAGAAATAAATACAAAAAATTTATTTTCTCCTACAAAAGGGGGGAAGTAACGTGCACAAAAGAAAAAAACAGGTGCTCCCCATTTTCTGCAAACAAAAAGGAACGTGGAGTCAGAAATGGTAGTTAACAGAAAGTGGCAGGAGGTCATGGCCTCTACCTCTCCCCCACGTAACAAATTCTAGAGCTTTCCTAGGATGCCTATAAATAAACATCACTTGCAGCAAGTAAAAAGAAGGAGACAGAAAAAAAAAGAGGGGATACTCTGCAGAAAAAAATAGAGAAACATTGAGGGAAAATACCAAGAGCAACGAAGTGCTGCCAGAAAAGAGAATGAATTCAATTATTCGTGCTTTCAAAGTCAAGAACCAAGGGAGAATATTCATCACCAGGTATAAAACAAAGCCCCGTTAAAATTATTTTTTCTCTTGATTTTTGTTATGTTGTATATATACAAGAAACAGAGAAGGACACAAAGGAAGAAGCAACGGAAAAATGGCAGCCGAAGACCACCAGGTAAGGGTCCATGACATTCCCCTTTGCTTGGCAATGGTCCACAACGCAAGGAAAAAAAGGAAAAAAAAACAGAGAAGGACAAATCAAATGTTCTAATATTTCTTTTAGTTTTTTTTTGTGTCCTTTGTTTCGTTGTTTGGTATTTTTTCTGCACCAAACAGATGGAGGTGGAGATTCTAAACCACTAACTGCAGCAGAAATGATCTCCAAAAATCCCATGAATTTCTTCGGGGTGGCCTAGACCACCCCGTGAAGTTCCAATCAAAGTCTAAGTAACCCATACCTGCCGTTCGTACATTATGCGACTTGAAGTAGATGGGTTTGGCAAATGCCGTGTTGCATAAAGCCAGAAGAAACTCATTCTTTGCGGTCCAATGAGAAAACAGATGCATTTGTGGACAAATAAACAAGGGAAAAGAAGCAAAATGCAACTTTTGCTCCCCTTGACAGACTCATATTTGGTCTCTATGAAGAAAAGACAGCAAGGAAACAACATATACAAAGATGCAACACAAGAAAGAGAGAAGAAATTATTCTGTTTGGTGTTCTTGCTACCCATGGGTACAAAACATGGAGGATGCCTTTGGTTAAAAAAAACTATTTGGGATAAGAGTCCAAGGAAAATGAAGAATTCAAAATCCAAGGGGGGAGACATCTCAAAGTCATTCACGTGAAGAAGAGGAAGAAGAAAAGTTTGTTTCTTTAAAAAGCCATACACATAGCTATCATATTGGATAAAAGAGACAAGGGAACAAGGAAAAGGTGCATATGTTGACCAAAATGAGTGATTAAAGGAAGAAAAGTTTCTGTAAAAATTAAAAGAAGGTTCAAAGCCTTCTTTGCCACGTGAAGATGGAACAGATTTTCAGTGTCAAAAATTTTGACCAAAGGCATTAAAACAAGACTGACAGATGCTACAAAACAAGGAAAGAAAATTTGCCAATCTCTAAATACATAGCTAAAGGACATTTGTTTTTTTTTTTACCACGGAAAAGTTGGGTTAACAAGGGTTCAAGCTATCTCAAGTTCAGAAAAAAGGAAAAGCTTACTGTCAAACCTTCCAGATTAATCAGAAAACTCACGCAGCCTTTATATTAACACCCAAAGAACTACAAGATAAATCTAGACAACAAAAGATTTTGGGAAAAGTATCACTTTATGCAAGTGTTAATAAGAAAAGAATGGCAAGTATCGAAGGCAAAAACATAAATGGGAACGCAAAAGAGGTGTCCAAATGCCCCCTGTCAAGTTCAGTCAAATAATTCCCCCTGAGGAAATAGAAATGCTAGAGAGTATTTACACTCTAGTACATCAAAACTCATTCAAAATGCAGCAGATACAAGGGATGCATTACTACAAAATTCAGAGTGCAATTCTCACCTTTGGAGACATGAATCAACAATTGTCTTCAACAAACTCGGTACTACAAAATAGTTGGTGTTTGGATCAAAACTTGAACTTTGGGCTCAAGGAAGGAGCTGGCCGGAAAGAAGGCCCAAAGGGAAAAATAGCCAGAGCCCAGTCAAAGCCCAGAAGGCAGGGAAATGCCTTTTCTGACTTGGTGCAGCTCATGAAGACCACTTACTTACCTACCCAAAGGCCAAGTGGTGTAGACTGATCAGCTACACAGCCCATAAAGCATTTTATGGTGGCATTACATGTAAAACAGCTGATGAGTCATCACCCTCAAACCGCATTCGGGCAAAGCTGTTGCTACAGAAGCCCAAGCCTAGTTGTCTAT